GGGGGAATCCCCCTAACACGGCTCAAACGGCCCATGCAGGCTATCTAAAGCGTCCTCACAGCCATGTACCGCAGACCCCCCCACCAAAATCAAGGCAGGCAGTGAATATGAAGTAGAGCACGAGCTGGCCGAATATATACTCAAGATTCGAATTCAGGTTTGTGTTTCAGCAGGTAAGGGTTGCTCACGTAGCTAGGCCGGGTTGGTCTCTGCACGTGATTCTCAGGGCTTGGCTGCACTACTCACAAAATGTGCAAAACTAGAATGAATCTTCTGCAGAACATGGAATAATACACCACCATATGTTTTGTCTTTTGTGCATGTGGTGAGTAGAGGCTCTTAGGGCCAGTGCATGTATTCCTAAGAAAAGAAAAACAAGAATTTTAAATTCTCGTTTTTCTTTTTTCTTGTTTTTCTTTTTTCTCATTTTTTTTTTCTCGTTTTTCTTTTTTTTTCGTTTTTCTTTTCTTAGGAATACGAGCAGTGGCCCTAAGGGCCTCTACTCACCACATGCAGAAAAGACAAAACATATGGCGGCGTATTATTCCATGTTCTGCAGAAGATTCATTCTAGTTTTGCACATTTGGTGAGTAGTGCAGCCAAGCCCTGAGAATCACGTGCAGAGACCAACACAGCCTAGCTACGTGAGCAACCCATAACTGCTGAAACACAGACCTGAATTCGAATCTTGAGTATATATTCGGCCAGCTCGTGCTCTACTTCATATTCACTGCCTGCCTTCATTTTGGTGGGGGTGTCTGCGCTACATGGCTGCGAGGACCCTTCAGATAGCCTGCATGGGCCGTCTGAGCCGTGTTAGGGGGATTCCCCCTCCCGCCCCCCCCCCAAAAAAAAAGGACCTTTCACATATGGCGGGGGGTGACGCGGTAGGGGGGGTAGGCCTCCGGGTTGTTTTTTTTTTGCACTTTCGGGGTTCGTTCCTCCGTGATTACTTTCAGGTTCGATCCAATGTTGTGGCACATTGGCAATATCTGAGATTCTCTTTCATCTGATCCAGACCCTTCCATTCTTTGTTTCCCTCATCCCACAAATCCCCGACTCTTGTGACTCCATTTTTTACCCAGCCCCTCCACGGGGAGTCGGAGCTACAAAAGATTTGGTCATGAGAACCGCTTAATTCGGGAGTTCTCGAAAAGGGGTTGTCTGACCACTTCCTCCCACCGCTCCAGCGGTGGCCGTTGCGGAAGGGCCAGCCTTCTCCATGTCTTTATTAGCCTAGGTCAGAAGTCATCTTTCGGTAGGTTGTACCGGAGGTCGGGTTTGGTTTG